AGCGCTAGATTAAGATTTGCATAACCGTCGCGTTCTCGGCCCAAGTGTGTTTTAATGTGATCGGGGCTGACGCGACTTATGCATACATAGCGCGACGTTACGTAACTTTATGCAACTTTACGCTGAGATTGCAATCCCTACAAGCTCGCGATGAGCTCGAATTAGTGTAATGTATAGCGAAAACTGAGAGATGGTAGACTCGATGCGTTGATCAAAGTGAAATCCGCAAGCCTCTGACGAGCATCTGTTTAAATATCATTTTGGCTGCTCTATCTTATCAAAACGTGGCGACAGAAGGATGAATATATATCAATGATATGACAGTCAAAGGCAGCTGTTCATACATGCGCTAGTTAGTATCAGAAAGCAAAGTTTGCATGACACTCTTCTAGACAAGTCTTAAATCTCATTTTGTCAAATATAATTCTTTAACCCTTCAATGCATTGGTACTCGTGTCTTTAAACAGTAAAGTAAACATTTTTATATTTTTGTGTCAATTTCGCTGTGACGCGAAAAATCTAATTTTTTGAATAAAGAACAGTTTTATCATATAGATTTTGTCTTATTTTAACTTTTACTTTTTTAGCAGAAATCTTGGGAAACACGATAAAAATTGAAAAATTATGCATTCGCAGAAGTGTTAAATTAATATAAATCAAAATGTATAAAATAGATATAAATAAAATGAGAGCTTAGTTTTTATTTTATTCTGTTATATATATATATATGCGTCTTGTTCTTATTCTTACTTTTTATCTTTATATTATTAAACGGAGAGAATTTTTTTCTTCAAATTTACCTCGAAAATACATTGAAAAAAGAAGTGTTTAATTTTAAAATATTAAAATATTTTATTCTTGTCTCCATTTTTTAATCTCCACTTAAAGATGTTTTAATTTCAAACTTTTTCAATAAACAAAACACGACGTGTTTGGAACGCATAGTGTTTTAAATCCAAATAGATAGTGTTCCACGTCTACTGAAAAAATTTAAAACTGAAACATCTTTAAATGTTAAAAAAATGGGAACAAGAACAAAGCACATTTCTTTTTAGTGTATAGTAGTTCTGGGGCAACATTGTACTTTAAAGTATTTTACATAAATTTTTCTTTCATTAGTAAAACTATAATATAAAATATAAAATAAGTTTGATTAATTTTACTAAAGTATATGGTAAAAATCTTTAAAATATTATATTGTACCACAACTACTATATTTTCAGGATAAATAAAAAAAAATTCTTTCCAGATATCAAATTAGGTTGTGTTTTGTCTTCACTTTTCCTCAAATTTTTCATCATAAAAACGTGTACGTATATCAGTGTTTACGACGTGTGTAAATGTGTGTAAATATCCGCAAATTTATTGAGCTTCATGGATTTGTTAAACCCAAATGACTGCGGATCAATCATTCCTCCGGGAATCATAAATAAAAATATCATTTTGCAACATCGTGTCAAAAAGAAATGTGATTGAATAAAACGAATTTTTGAAAATCTATTTTTCCGTCGCTATTTTAACTAATTTTAATTGAAAGATACCGTTTTCGAATGCGCGCCGTGGCACTGCAAAAATCCCTAACTATCGGTCAGAGTTCCAAGTTAACACGACAAAAAAACGATATATATTTCTGTCGTCGGATTGTGGACTAAACCGCGCAATTTCGGACGGAGCGGTTTCGCCGCGACGCATATATCACGGGGATCGGACGTGCAGATTTTTTTCAGATATATCTCGCGGCCGGCCAACACGCGGAAACCGCGTGCATGCAAAAGAAGAAAAAAAAAAAACCCGTCGGCGTACGCGCGTACGTGCGTCCGCCTCTTCATAAAGTCATAACTCAACCGTACCCTCCCTCCCGGCGTGCATCCCTCGGCATAACATTTAAAACGATTTCCGCTGGCAGCCGTGCCAAGACCGTAGCAGCGTTGTTTCGGGGATAGATTAACGAAACATAACGCCAGTACTCGCTACGGACTTCCAAGGGGTAGCTCAGATAATGGGAAGGGGCGTGTTGGCACCGCTCTGGCAGTTAAGCAGCATTCAGTGCCGGCAATGCCGCGACTTGGCCTCCGGGGCCGCGATCGATGGAAAATTTCAGGAGTTTCGAGGCAATCCAGGCCTTCGAGAGACTTTATGCACAACGCGAGAAGAGGGATTTAACTGTGAGAAGTGTATCTTAATGAGATATAATCGCTTGACGCGAACAAAGCGGAGCGTCGATATCGATACGAGAAGTCGAGTATCACGTGCTACGGGCGCGAATAAACGATAAATGTCCGGTGAAAATATCTCGGACGTCCCGAAGATATCGTAACTTTTTAACGTTGTACGAGGGAGAGCTACGTCGAGTTAGCAACTCAGACGCCGGGGATAACGGTGTGTATGTCCAGGGTTATTTATGACATTACTCGCCATAAATAAATGGCGAGGGAAGGAAAAGAGAAGAAACCATTCACGCCGTATTCGGACTCTACGATTACAAAGCACAGTTTCTTCAGCCCTTCTTTGTGCTCCGACTTTCTTCATTCGCTGCGTTTGTGATTCAAGTAAATGCCAGGACGTGCATTCCCCGAGTCCTCCCAGTTCCCATGCAAAATTTTCGCGCTACTAGGAAAGGGGTATAAGAATGCATTTATCCGGTCCTGGCATTTGCAGAGAATTCCTCACAGAAAGTCCGATGATACATCGCGATGATACTCGCCGCGTCAGTGCCATCCCCGCAATCGCGCTGCTTCCCTTTCCCTCGGATCGTCTCTCTCTCTCTCTCTTCCCTCCTAAACGGGCTCTCGGCGTTAAGAGATTAACTCGTCACGTCGAGCCATTTTAATATCCCAAATCACGGACGGCGAATCAGCAAAATTAGTCGGAGAAACGGCATACGGCGATAAGTATCCGTTACTGTATCCTTTTGCACGTGAACGCATTTCGATTGAAGATTACAGTATCCGTCGCGCGTGTACGCTCAATGGCCGTTCCATGAGGTATAGACGGAAATCGGAGACTAAATAAATCGATATTTCGAAGTCTCGCCGCCCGCAAACTTGGAGCTGCTCCAACGGTCTCGCTGCAAAACGAATGCAGCGTCTGCGTCTCCCGCCAGCTAATTCACGCGTATCGGGGTATATCCGTAATGCCAAACAATTTTGGGTTACGAATGTTACGCGATATTCGCGTAGTTCGGAAAACGTCGCGCATACGCTGCACGTCGATGGAACTTTGCGATTAAGAGAAATATATTGCCCCTTCAAAATTACGTCTCTCCGACCCCGGTATAGGTGCACGCTCGCGCAGTACTCGGCTTGACTAACGAGAGAGCGCTTATTAAGCGAGGCCGAGATAAGATTTTCGCGACGGAGTGGGCGCGACTTGGAATGAAGTGGCATTAATGGAGCAGTAATTGGTTGAAAAGTAGGTAAACTGCTTGCAGTAAACGTTGTAAACACTCACCCCTGGTAAAGTCCGCTTCTCATGCAGAGCGTTCTGGGCGCTGATTGCGCTGTCACGGCTGTAGTAGGTGAGGAACGCACAGCCTGAAAACGAAGAAAAACCCTTATCTCTCTCGCGAAGATTAACTCACGATTTTGCCGGCGTGCTACGTAGCATCCCCCCGTGCGCGGCAGCTCTTTACGTACCCCCTTTTATCATAAAAGCATCGAGAGCCGCGACATGCAGACACGCGAGAATTCGGACGGGGTAATCACTTAGAGCAATATTACGACGTGCTTGCGAGGCGAGGTTTATCGGCCGGTCGCGCAACGTAAAACGAAAAAGCTTTTTGCACAGCTGGTAGTTGAGATCCGTCGAAATAAAACTTTTACACCGCTCCCTCGTGTCAACCAGGGCGAAACGCGCTGAGTCTAAGGTCGATCATGGATAACGCGATCTTTCCCGTCGTGCACTAGCAGTGCACTGCAATTACGTGAGGCAGTCAATGTGTTATCGTAATTAGCTAGGTCGGTGGAAAATTCTCATTGCATACACAGAGAAAAGTACATAAGATAAATGTTACAGTGAATAGTTAGTAGACATGACACACAATTGTTGAAGGAAATGACAAATATTTTTAATTAAACTTTCAATAATATGTACGATTCTAAATAAACTTGTCTTTTATTATATTTTTATAAACACTGAATTTATTTAGAGTTGTATATATTATTAAAATCCTGGTTCATATAAGTCGAAATCAAATCGGTTCGATTGATTTTTCGGACCGTTTGATTTGATATCGACTACATTTTCTATTAATCTTCGAAGAAGATCGACATTTTATCAACGCTGCATCAAGTTTCTTTCGAAGATCAATAGAAAATCTAGCAGGTATCAAATCGAATGGTCCTAAAAATCAATCGACTTGAAATCAGCTAGAGAAGCTTAATATTTTATAAAGTTTTTGTCATTTTGTCAAATAATTGGGTCAAATGATTGTCTACTGATTGATTCATCTTATTATACGCAAGTAATAATTGTAGTCATAAATACCAAAAATTTTTCTCTCAGCATGTTCTCTTCGCGGTACACATTCGCGAAATTTGACGCTGTAAGCTTTATGATGGTCGACGTGCAAAATACGAAGACCGACGTTACCTGAAGCCGCGTTCCAGAAATGTACGTATCTCGTGCAATTGCTAATCGACCAGATTCTTCAAAACTACGAATTCACGCGTTGTGTGAAAATAAACGTGACGTATCCCGCCCGCGATGACAACGACGACAACGACGTACGTAGCGTCGCGCAACGCCTCGATCATCGTCAAAAAACCCGTCCGCCGAGATTTCGGCCATTGATCTTGTCAACAACGGAAGAATAATTTCTGCAGGGACACCCCCGGGAATTCATCACCCGCGCGACACGTTTCGATTCCCACGCGCGATATACCGTTACTCGTAAAACACGTCGCCTAATCGCGCCCTGCGGAACACGTTATGCGAGACCGCTACGCTATCATCTTCGTCAGATAGTAATATCGATGTAGCGACGGAAACAACCCACCCACAACCCGCACCAACGTCGCGCTCACGCAAGCCTCGCGTAGCACTCTAGAATCAGGCCGTTATCTCGTGGTTCATATAAATAGCCCTGTATTAGTCGCACTTCAGAAGTTCATATGCTGCTTATCCGCTAGCGTAAAATTGTAATACAGACTTGTAATACAAAGTGTATCGTCTCTTATCAGATTAATTTCGAAAGGGGCGAACTCAGAAGCCGTAAAGTAGCATACTTATTAAATTTTAATACTAAAATTCGCAAAAGATGAACGTATGAAGATTAATGATCATTATCCGTAGCAGTCGGTCAGTTAAAGACGTCAGTTAGAATTTGATGTAATATTAAGTAACATAAAAATATTGAAAAATACAAATCTCTATGTATGGAATCAATTCTTGCGGACCGCACTCGATTTAAGAAATAGCGCCGGTATCACTGCGGGTTAAAACGATGGTAATTAACCCGAGAATATTGGACGGTACTTGAACCAGACCATTATCGGCTATCGCGCTGTCGAGCAAACCCCTTGGGACCGCCTTCCTATCGGTCTGAGAATTTATTCAAAGGGCCTCTCGGTCTCCTATCTGATCACCATTTGACTATCTCAACACAGGGAGATGGATGTAAGCAAGCACGCGCAGCGCAAAAGCCGCGGACAGATCCAAGGAGAACCAAGATTGCACAAATATTTATGACACGACTCTATCAGTGCGATTCTGTCACTTACGGAATTCATTAAATTCATTAAACACACTCACGTGCGGCGAATCCATTCGCGTACTCATATAATTTCAATCTTAATTCATGTATATATTACACGCAACGTTTCACTGCTTAATAATATTATCTCGAATAGAAAAGATATCGCTAATTGCATTTATTATATAATAATAGGTACGTTTCTGTTATATTGTGAAAATAAGTTTGGCATTTAATACATTCTGTAGCAGTAAAAAAACATTTTGTACTTGTGGTGGAAACGGTCTACTCAAGTCCTTGTTAAAACTTTGTGTTGTATTTTTAACATATTTGAGTGTGAATTTAGTGTAATGTGATTATTTAAATAATTTGTGTTAAGTTCAAATGAGAAAAAATTCAAAAATTTAAGAAATAAAATAATATAATAAAGGGCTACGAATCACTCTAGATCTTAAATAAGAAAAACTTTTTAATAGACAATTAAACCATATACAACAGACAACCTCTATCGGATTATTCTCAATGTTAGACTTTAAAATGTTACCAGTAATCTCGCTCAACGCTCGTAATTAATTAAACATGTAAAACGCATAAAAACGCATGTAATACTTGCATGTTTGAACATTAAAAGATGATAATAATTCCTCGGATTCTAATAAATATTGTAGTTTCCGAAAATTTATTTTAGTTGCCTTGCTTCATATCTTCTAATTGGGTATAACTTCTTCATGCCATAAAAACGGATAGGTATGAAACAAATTATATGTGATTACAATATAATACTATTTCATATATCTTCTCATAACTGAGGTTTAATAATGGTCGGTCCAATTTAAAATAATTAAAAGGAGAGTGCAGGAGAGACAGTAAATGTGAAAAATAATTATTATTCAAAAGGTCTTGCAACTAACGATGTAATTTGTATTAAATTGATATCCAATATTTCTTAATGTCAAAATAACGTAATTGACGAGTAAGTGAACGAATAACAAAAAAAAAAATAATGTGTTTTAAAACATAAATTCTAAGATAAATAAATAAAATACGTATTAATTTAATTTATATCATAACTGTAAATTTTATTTAAAAAATATACTTCCACGGCTTGTTCACAAACTATTGTCAGTATTATTATTTTTTTTTGTTTATTTTCTAAAATAATATTTGTGTTATATATAAATATTTATTTTACATTAACATAAAAATTTGAAATGGATCGTTTAAGACATGCGAAATAATACGCGTTAAATTTAACACCAACTTTCGAACTGTGTCACATCAATTATTTAATTCATATAAAGTTACTGAATTTAATTAACACACGTTTTTAAAACTGTCGATAGATTCGCAAATCACTACATCTTGTACCCGCGAAAGAAAAGAACTGAAATTCTGAATCACACTGTTTTACGATATGATACTTGAGACGTTTTAATCTCGCACTAGAACTCGGACGACACAGTTTTCTGAGGATGAGAGAGGGAATGCACCAGTATGCGCACTCTCTCTCTCTCTCTCTCTCTCTCTCTCTCTCTCTCTCTCTCTCTCTCTCTCTTCCAGTCTTTTCCCTTCTAAAGAGTCACGTCGTGCAAACGAGAGAACGAGGAAGTAAGAGAAGCGTGAGACGCGCTGCGCGCACTTGTAATTTTTCATACGGCACATCGCACGCGTCCAGAGCTCCACGCGGTTTATATCCAGGCACCGCGATACGTCTCATTCGCACGTATAGAAGGCCCAACCTAACCCGGAGTAAGTCCGCATATAAAAGTTCTCCCCTTCGAGCCCCGGAAGAGCCGAGGGATGGAACGCGCCGTGGTGGTGGCCGAAAGTTCGCGTGGGGCTGTAGCCTGCGGCCGGTCACGACGCCACCGGTACTCGACGTCAGATACGGGAATACATGCCGCGCTCACTATTTCGGAAATGCCCGAAAATATTTATAAACATCGCGGTCGCGCTTATCTTAATTGCATTGGGGAACCGGGCTCGCGTGGCTCCCCTATTCTACGAGCCGGATACCGGCGGGAATAGAAAACTTCGTCGCGACGGCAAATCGCAAGCCCCCGGGCGGGCCTTCCGAGGATGAATTAGCTCCCAGCGACGCGACAAGAACAGGGACAATCGTTTCCTCGCACACGTTCCCATGAATCTCCCCCGGCCTCCCTTTGCCTTTTTTTTGGTTAAATTCAATCTGCGAGCGATGCAATACGGTGCCCACTCAGGGAAAATAAGATACTTCAACCGCAAATGGATGTATACATTCGTAATGCAGTAAACAGGAGTAGGCAAGTTTGACGTGCAAGTTTAACTTTGGAATCTACTGTTTACTCCACTGTCGGGGCAGCCGCTTTCGTGGTATCTATTTACGAATTGGGACAGTTCGGTTACTGCCCCGTCGAAAATACAGAGTTAATTCAGTTTTATACCTCTAGGTGAGAAAACGTTTAATTATAATTAAATTGTCACCAAGATATTTAAAGAATTTGGGGAAAAATTATATAAATATCTTTCTAAATAAATTTCATTTCGCTGTATAGGATAATTAACACGACGAGAGGTAACGATTATACCGCGATTTCTACACGCCTCCTCCTCGACGTAGTCACGTCTAGCATAGGCAATTACGATAAGGCTTACGATTAGCTTGACAGCGAAGCGTCGAGTGGCGGCGCGGTCTCGTGCAAATTGCAGATGAAGCAGTTATACATTCGGTCGTGTAGGAACAATTCACTGATTCTAGATAATGAAACAGCTTGTCATCGGGTATGCGCATAGTCACCTACGTGTGCAGCGAAGTTTCGTCGTATTTAGGCTTTACGCATACACGAATATGCAAAGCGCGAA